ACCTGGAATATTTCTTGCCATTCCCGTCTGGTCTGCATGGTTTCTGTTGAGAAGTCAGCTGACAATCGTATAGGTGCTCCTTTATAGGTAACTACCTGCTTTGCTCTTGCTGCTTTTAATATTCTCTTTTTGTCTTTTGCTCTTGGAATTTTAATTATGACTTGTCTTGGTGTGGTCTTTTTTGGATTCCTTTTGTTTGGAGTTCTGTGCGCTTCCTGGACTTGTAAGTCTAATTCTTTCACCAGGTGGGGGAAGTTTTCTGTCACTATTTCTTTCAGTATGTTTTCAATATCTTGCTCTCTCTCATCTTCTGGGACCTTCATAATTCCAATGGTTCGCTTGAAGTTGTCCCAGAGGTTTCTTACATTATCTTCAACTTTCTGGATTCTCTTGCCTTCTTGCTTCTGTGGAGGAGCATCTTCTGGCTCTTTATGTTCCAAATCTTTGATTTGATTCTTGGGATCTTCCATTCTGTTTTTAGGACTCTGTATAATATTTTTTATTTCAGACAACGTATTCTTTATTTCTTTTTTTTTCTTTTTTTTCTTTTATATTTTATTGATTTTGTACAGAGAGGAAGAGAGAGAGACAGAGAGTCAGAAACATCGAGAGAGAGTAATCAATCAGCTGCTTCTTGCACACCCCCCACTGGGGATGTCCCCGCAACCAAGGTACATGCCCTTGACCGGAATCGAACCCGGGATCCCTCAGTCCCCAAGCCGACGCTCTATCCACTGAGCCAAACTGGTTTCGACCGTATTTTTTATTTCTTGTTGATCCCTTATTATTTCTAGTTGATCTCTTTTCATATCCTATCGGCCTTTTCTAGGAGATTCTTGAACAACCTTATAAGTGTGATTTTGAACTCTATATCCAGTCGCTTTTTGTCCTCCATTTCTTTCGTTTGTGATCTATTTCCTAGTCTCGGCATTTTCACAGCTTCCCTGATGGGGCGGAGTTTCAGGGTGGAGCCAGGCGCTCAGCCTCCGCCTCCTCTCCGGCTCTGTCCTCTCCGCGTGCCGCGTGTCTCCATACCTTAGGCTTTTACAGCTCCTCCGCTCTTCCTTCTGGCTTTCTCCTTACTTCTCATTGTAGAATTTCCAATCAGTCGACTTTCCTGTAGTTCTGGGTAATGCCCATTTTATATTTTAGTTGTATTTTATTGAAATTGTGTGTGGCTGTGGTTAGGTGTGTACCTGTGCAGCCATCTTGGATCCTTCTCTCTTGTTGCTTTTAATATTCTCTCTATGTCTTTTGCTTTTGGCATTTTAATTGTGATATGTCTTGGTGTGGTCCTCTTTGGATTCTTTTTGTTTGGAGTTCTGTGTGCTTCCATGGACTTGTAAGTCTATTTCTTTCACCAGGTGGGGAAAGTTTTCTGTTATTATTTCTTCAAGTAGGTTTTCAGTATCCTGCTCTCTCTCTTCTTCTGGGACCCCCATAATTCTGATGTTGGTTCGCTTGAAGTTGTCCCAGAGGCTCCTTACATTGTCTTCGTATTTTTGGATTCTTTTTTCTTTTTTCTTTTCCAGTTGGGTGTTTTTTGCTTCTTCGTATTTCAAATCTTTGACTTGATTCTTGCGATCCTCTAGTCTGCTGTTGCATCTCTGTATAATATTTTTTATTTCAGTCAGTTTATGTTTAATTTCTAGTTGGTCCTTTTTCATATCCTTGAGGGTCTCGCTAATGTATCAGCCTTTTCTAGGAAATTCTTGAAAAAACTTATAACCGTGGTTTTGAATTCTATATTCAGTCATTTGCTTTCCTCCATTTCTTTAGTTTGTGATCTCTTTTTTGTCTTTGCATTTTGGCTGCTTCCCTGTGTTGATAGAATGGCTTTGTGTGCTAGGTGTCCTATAGGGCCCAGTGGCTCAGTCTCTCCAGTTACCTGAGGTAGACACTCTTGGTGCACCCCTTTGTGGGCTGTGAGTACAGTCTTGTTATAGTTAAGCCTTAATTATTGTTGGTATCGCTGGGAGGAATTGACCTCCAGGCCAATTGGCTGTGAAGATCAGCTGTGTCTATGATGGGAGAACTTTTGTGCTGGAGACACCGTTATGGGAGAAGACTTGCAAAAGCCTCTGTGCTCAGCTTGAATGGGTGGAGTCTCAGGGTGGAGCAGACAGCTTTGGTTTCCTGTCAGTCCTGCCCTAATAGGCCCCTATGTCTCAGTGTCACTGCGTGTAACGCTGAGAGAAAGCCGCCATCGAGTTCCACCCGCTGCCAGACAGTCCAGTTTCTCTCCGAATGAGTCTGGGTCCCCAGAGTCTCACCCGGAATTGGTGTTCAGTGCAATCAGGAGCTTTCGTCTCCTCACTTGAGAAAGCCAGCCACATACTTAGTTGCCTGCCCTCTCTGTGCACATACCTCAGTACCTCTGCCTTCTGCAGTTCCTCTGAGTCTCAGTGTGCTTTTCTCTTTCCAGACAGTCCAGTTTATCCCCATATGAATCAGGGTTCCTAGAGTCTCACCCAGAACTGGAGTTCAGAGCAGTCGGGAGCTTTCGTCCCCTCCCGCTTGAGAAAGCCAGCCACGCCCTCAGTTGCCAGTCCTTTCCTTGCTCACGTCTCAGTACCTCTGCCTCCTGCAGCTCCTCTGAGTCTCACTGTGCTTTTCTCTTTCCTTCTTGTTGTAGAATTTCCACTCAGCCAGCCTTCCTGTGGTTCTGAATGACGTCCGTTTTGTCTTTTAGTTGTAGTTTTGAAATTGTTGTGCGAGACAGCGGTTTAGGTGTTTACCTATGCTGCCACCTTGGTTTCTCCTAAAAATTTAATGTTTACACAAAAACCTGTACATGAACATATAATTGTTCTACAATGGAAACAACCCAAATGTATTTCAACTGGTAAATGGATAAACAAAGTGTGCGACATCCATTTAATAGAATCTACTATTATACTTACAATAAATAAGAATAAACTGATATATGCTGCAACACGAATGAATCTCAAATGCATTATGCTAAGAAGCCTAATGGATTCTTTTCAGTGGTTAATCCAGGGCTGACAACAAGCCACCAATGTGCTGTTGAACCCTAGTTTGATAACCCAAATTCAAAGGCTATATATTGTATGATTTCATTTATATGATATTCTGTGATAGGCAGACTTAGGGACAGACAATAATTTTCTGGGGAAGTATATGAAGAATACCAATATTTAGGATGATGATGGTAATATCATATGCCTTTATTGTGGGAGTTTAAACTATTTGTCAAACTCAGAACTGTACTTAAGGAAGGATAAAATGTAAATCAGTTGTGCCTCAATTTTAAAAAATATGATAAAAACAAATATTGCTGTGATTTGCATTTGGTCAATAGGAGTTAATCATTTTGGTATGAAAAAGTAAAGTGTTCTTATGAGCTTCATCGTTTTCAGGAAGTTGGTGTGCTAGCTCCCTCTAATGAAATGAGAAGAGTAACATTTCATGACTGTTTATGAAAGAGAGCATGTCAGCTGTTAATCTGAGAAGGTCATTTTCTCATTCTGGCCAAGGAGAGTGTACTCCTAAAATAGAAAGAAACTGGAAGAAGAAAACATACTTTGTAGCAGTCTATTATTTTAAAATCTGCCTTGGCATTTGACTTGTAATTGTATCGCACCATTAACATCAAGGAATGATATTACTCGTATTTATTAGTTGTACTCTTCTCCTTTTAGCAAAACAGAGAAAAAGGTTTTATACTAGTAAACATGCCTGAATTAGGATTCTGTCTACCTAGTTTGAATTCTGACTTTATCATGTACTAGCTGTGTTACCTTGGGTAAATTACTTAACCTCTCTTTATTCTTATCTTTAAATGGGGAGGATTACATAAAAACAAGTAGATAAATAGTTGGCAAGAAAAAAACAAAAACGGGAATGATAATGATAGTTACCTTAAGGTTGTTGTGAAGATTAAATGTTAGATGGTTAGAAAAGTACCAGGCATCTAAGTACAGTGTAATTGTGGGCTGGTATTGATATTATTAGCAGAGAACAAAAACCAGAACAAGTAACCTTTTGTTGCATTTTTAAGGCACTGGGCTGAGTTGGGGAGAAGTAGCAGCAAGCCTGTGAGAGAGCAAAACCTGATTGTAGCCACAACTTACTAAATAGCACATCCCCCCCACCCCCCACTAGTCTCTTAAATCACCAGGAGCAGGCAGAGGTAATGAGTAGGAATATTGGGGTTATCACATTAGAGTTCTAATGTTGTGGCCAGCACATTGGTGGCTTGTTGTCAGATCCTGGATTATTCATTGGAAAAAAACTTTTTCTTGCTTATGCATTCAAAAATTTTAAAAATGACCTCAGAAACTTGTAGTTTCTCAGCTTATTCAAATTAACCCACAAATGCCAATTTTACTATGAATTACAGTAAGAAGATGCTCAGAGTATCAGTTAGCTATACCATTAAGAACAGTGAGCAAATTACCTTGGTAATTGTGATTTTAAAAAATATATATTTTATTGATTTTTTTACAGAGAGGAAGGGAGAGAGATAGAGATCTAGAAATGTCGATGAGAGAGAAACATTGACCAGCTGCCTCTTGCACACCTACCGGAGATGTGCCCGCAACCATCGTACATGCCCCTGACCCGAATCGAACCTGGGACCTTTCAGTCCGCAGACCGATGCTCTACCACTGAGCCAAACCGGTTTCGGCAGTAATCGTGATTTTTATATAAATACCTGATAATCGGTACTTCTGTAGCTTATAAAGAAAATGGTAACAATTTGGAAGTAGCCTTCAGGTCAGTTTTATATTCACTTTTGCATTTCAGTTATATATTTTGCCATTAAGAGGTAGGAGAGAATTTTGAAAACATTCATTTTACTAGTAGCACTTAGGGATACTAGCAGTGGTGTTCATGTGATAAAAGTTCCCATGATGATGTCCTTCAATTGAAAGCACAAAGAGGTAGAAGAGGTATAGGGAGGCTGGGCATTTTATTATTATTGGATATTTCTTTTCTGTTGAATAAGACTCATGTGATTACTTCTGCCCTATTAGGAGCTCTTGTCCCTGGCAAAGCGGAAGCGCAGTGACTCTGAGGAGAAGGAGCCGCCTGTGAGTCAGCCTGCAGCCTCCTCAGACTCCGAGACGTCGGACAGTGGTGATGAGGTGGGTGCGGAGGGACTAGGCCACTGTGGCTGACAGGTATATAAGGGTACGTGTGTTGTTGACTCTGAAGGCCTCTTTTTCTTTTAAACTATAGATTTGATTTCATGTTTATTTTATTTTTGTTAATCTTCACCGAAGGATATTTTTTCCATTGATTTTTAGAGAGTGGAAAGGAGAGGGAGAGACAAGAGACAAAGAAACATGGATATGAGAGATATATCAATTGGTTGCTTCCCACACACGCCCATCAGGGGCTGGGATCAAGCCTGCAACCGAGATACCTGCCTTTGACTGGAATTGAATCTAGGGCCCTTCAGTCCACAGGCCCGTACTGTCTCCACTGAGCCCAATCAGCCAGGCATGGCCTCTTTTTCTTAAACTGAGACCTCCAACTTAAGAGCTACAAAAACTTCATAGGAAAGAAAACTGTAAGGAAAACTCTGATTGTCATGTTCTCTAAACTGCTAGTCTCTACAGCGCATTTGTGGATATTTTTCAGTCTTTTGTTTTCAGCCTACCGTGGAAGAAAGGGCACAACATTAGTCATCATCTCTTTTATTTTGTGTGGGTATTTTTCTCGTCTTTTAATTCCACTTTTGTGTTAGAAAAGAAATTTCTGTAGAGAGTGCCATATTTTAGTGGAAAATACTTTTGCAAGACAAGAAGCTTTTTTTTTTTTTTTTTTAATTGATTTTTCACAGAGAGGAAGAGAGAGGGATAGAGAGTTAGAAACATCGATGCGAGAGAATCATCGATCATTGCCTCCTGCACACCCCCCACCGGGGATGTACCCGCAACCAAGATACATGCCCCTGACCGGAATCGAACCCGGGACCTTTCAGTCCGCAGGTCGACACTCTATCCACTGAGCCAAACCGGTCCCGGCTTTTTTTCTCTTTTTTTAATTTCTTTTAAAAATATAAATTTTATTGGTTTCAGAGAGGAAGGAAGCGAGAGAGAGAGAAACATCCGTGACCAGGAATAGAACCATGACCTCCTAGTTCATAGGTTGATGCTTAACCACTGAGCCACTCTGCCTGGGCTTTTGTCCTTTTGTGTGTTAATTCTCACCTGAGGATATTTTTCCCATTGCTTTTCTGAGAGTGATGGGAGGAAGGGAGGGAAAGAGAGAGAGACAGAAACTTCGATGTGGGAGAGACAAATCAACTGGTTGCCTCCCGCACGCACCCCTGCCTACTCTGGGTGTGCCCCCTTCTAACTCCTCTATGTGTTCACTTTGAAGCTACAACTTGTAGTTTAAAAAAAATTAAAAAATATGTGTGTGTGGGGGTGTGTGTGTGTGTGTGTGTTGATTTTAGAGAGAGGAAGGGGAAGGGATAGATAGAAACTATCTCCTGCGCGCCCCTCCTGGAGATTAAGCCTACAACCCGGCCATGTGCCCAGACTGGAATCCTCCTGTGTCATAGGGCTACGCTCAACCACTGAGCAACACTGGCTCTCCCATTTAATTTTTTTGAATGCATAGATAATACAGGAAAATCTTGAATAATTTCCTTTTCCCACTGTTCCTTTATCAGCTACTTTTATTTTCCATGTTTCAGAAGTCAGCTATTGTGTGTTTCCTCCCCTCGCCTATCAGTATTCTGTGAGTTTGAATCTGTGGTCTATCTAGAATACCCTATTACATGTTTATGGTCTTTGCAGTTCTTTTAAAATACAAGCCTAAATATTCTGTGGAGTATTTCATTCTTCATATTCAAGTCCTAAGTATGCAGTTACTAGTAGGGATTCCCTTCATACTTTTTAGCTGCTCGTGTCAGGAAGCAGAATGTGTGCTACCTCCATAGCTTAGAGAAACACAAAACTTGTGCTAGAGTACACCCAGAGTCCATAAAGACCTTCAAGCTGAAGGTTCCTTGCAGCTACTTAACCATATCTAAAAGTCTTCACTTAGAATCCTACCCAACTGCTTATGCACTTATTGGAGAAAAAGCTGTCAGGCAAGTTGCACTCTGCCCAGTGGGCAGTGATAATTTGAGTAACTTTCCCCCTACAAGACTCTTAGCTCCTGCTGCTGCTCTCAGGTCCCAGTTCCCCAGGCCCACAAGCTTCTTGCAGCTCTACTATAACGCCTTGCCCCACTGGGAATAGTGGCCTCAGTTTCATGGCCATTCTGAAAGGCACCTTCAGTACGTATCATTCCTCTTTTGCCCATGCTACTAGCTGAGCACCTCAAAATTAGGGTAAACATCTTATTACTTTGAACAATTCAGCAAACTGTCCAAAAAGATTGAGAAAAAAACTTTTTTTGAGTCCTGCCAACCGCCAGAGAACTCAGTGATAATACTGTGAATTCTTTTTTTATGGCTACACAGTTTTGGATTGGGTAGGGAACTTCTGAGAGATCCTTAGAATATAAAGTTTGAGACAGCAGCTCTTGCCATATTTTCACTCTCATAATGATATTCGTACGTCTTTTTGTAGGTAAAAACTGTATAATGAGGAAATTTGCTATGTTGTCTCATTTTCTGCTATGGCTTTTAGATCCTCATTATTTACAGAAATCTGGTTGTTAAAGCAAGTCCCAGTCAGATGGAGCCTACTTGTATCATATGTCACTCTGTAATTTTTTCAGATAGACCTCCCAAACCTTATTGTTTATTATCGTTGATGAACAGTGAATACAGGTAGAAAAAGTAGGTTGGTTTCTTCAGATTTGATAGGGCAGAAAACTGGTCAAGAATAACTGAGGTTAGCGGATGGTTTGTTATAGGGAGAGACATGAACTGATTTTAGAGAAAGAAGACATCTAGCTGAAAGTTATGAAAGTTTCTTATCCAGAAAAAGTGGGTGCATTGGACATTAAGTATAAGGTTCAGTTAGGGAGGGAATAATGGGTGTTATATTATAATATCTTCACCTGGGAGTACGGGGGCCTAAATTTAATGAAAGTGAACATACTTATGTATTATTTTTGGTGAATGCATAATTCTCAGTGAGAATTTGAGGCTCATGGGACTCATTCTGTAAGGTTTAATTTGACTACGGTAAGCTTGGAAAATTGGAAAGCACACCTCAGTAGTAAGCCATAATGCTGTACTGTGGCACTTTGGCGCTGCCACTTCTTCTTTTTTTTTTTTTTTTTTTTAATATTTTTATAGATATCTTTATTGCTGAAACTGGTTTGGCTCAGTGGATAGAGCATTGGCCTGCGGACTGAAAGGTCCCAAATTCGATTCCGGTCAAGGGTATGTACCTTAGTTGTGGGCACATCCCCAGTGGGGGGTGTGCAGGAGGCAGCTGATCGATGGTTCTCTCTCATTGATGTTTCTAGCTCTCTATCCCTCTCCCTTCCTCTCTGTGAAAAATAAATAAAAATATATTAAAGATATCTTTATTGATTTTAGAGAGGAAGGAAGAGAGATAGAAACATCATTGATGTGAGAGAATCATTGATTGGCTGCCTCCTGCATGCCCTCCACTGGGGACTGATCCTACAACCCAGGCATGTGCCCTTGACTGGAATTGAACCTGGGACCCTTTAGTCCACTGGCTGACGCTCTAGCCACTGAGCCAAACTGGCCAGTATAGTGCTGTCCCTAAAAGCATTAGATTGGAGAAGCACCACCAAGGATGCAAACAGAAGTGCCAGGGAAGAAAAATAACAAGGTTAGGAGGAAGAGAGTAGCAGCTCACTCATGAGGTGGGACTTAAAAACAAAACAAAAAAGTACATTTGTTTGGAGGAATGGAGTCCTAAGTTAAGTTGTTCAGAGTCCTTTTTAGAAATGGTGGATTATATATAAACAGATAACTGCAGCTAGATAAGATGAAAGCCTAGATTTTCACTAGTTATCTGTAAAAATTACGTTGAATACCAAGAAAACCTTTTTTGTTGTTCAAAATTGAGTGTAACTACATTAGACATAGTAAGGAAACAGCTGCATTATGTTCTAATATCCTCTACCTAACAGATTTTTTTTTTTTTAAAGCTTCATTATAGTCTTGTTTTCAACATTTTTGAGCAATAAAAGCTTTGGCCCAGCCCTATAGTTTGGCACATGTCATACCTCTTTTTTCTTTCCCCAGACCTATGTCAGCCTTCCCGATTGCAAAACTCACCCACTTGCCTCTCCAAAGACTCTGGTCTCTTCTTACTCTCCCCCATTCCATTTTTTTCTATTGCTTTCTGAAGCTTTTTCTCTTTTTCTCCTATTTCATCTGAGCTTTTGGGTTCTCCCACTTTAACCTAGTTATAGTCCTAATTCCCACTCTGTTACCTCTTGCTGGCTCTAATATTTTTATTAATAGAATATTTTGAAAAAGATAACTTTTACTTTTATATTCATTTAGTAACAATTTTTCCTGGAAATTGGTCTAGATATGCAAGAGTATTTTGTTATGCTTTACCGAAGAGATGCATAATTAGCACATGCTTCTGACAAAGGCCTTCACTGCTAAGCTAGTATTTATTTTCCCGTCATATACACAGTTCTCCAGAACAAGATGTTCCACAGAAGTGAATTATCCTAATACTGAAACTAAATTCTTGAGAGTTTAGAATATAAATCCTACTACATTTGAAAAGTTTTTTTGATAGGTATTCTTATATATAGTTGTTTTTCTTGTTGATTTAGTCATGATTACAAATGGCAGTTCTTATACCATGAAATAATGACTTCCAAAATGTTGAGCTGTGAGGTACTGCTTTTTATACCTTTTCTTTCTCTCCATTACTGTAGGTAAGAAGTGGCCACTTGTTCTCACCTTTTGGTAATCTGCTCTACTTCCAACTTCCTGCATCTGATCTGCTCTGTGGTCAGGAAACCAGGGGACCCATAGAGTTTAGGTTGGAATACTCTTCTTTAGTACTTGAATTTAGCTACAATTATTTGGATTGTACAATTATTTTTACATACTTCTTAGTTCTTGGCTATTTAGATGATCATACAGTACACCTTATTTATCTAGATACCATTAAAAGCTCATCACAGCCCTGGCCAGTATTCTCAGTAGTTAAAGCATCAGCCTGTGCACCAA